AAATATCAATAACAATAAAAACATGCAGACGTACGAGTGTAGAAAAAAGTGAATTCATTTTTAAAATATATAAAAATAGCTTGTTTACATTTTTCATGCTGCTGCAGGATTTTTAACTTCTGGGTTCGAAGGAACTTCTCTGATAATGAAAGTGTAACTTCATGATGTTAGCGCCTCCTGCTGTTACAAGAGGGGAATCGATCCATCTCCTGTGCTTTGGTCACACTGAGTCAGAGAACTGGAGATTTAAATAATAATCAGAAGTTATGAACGTCCGTGCTGATCATTCTAATGAAACCTGTGTGTGTGTGTTTTCAGTCTGAGTCGTCCTCTCAGGACAAAGTGGACGGAGACAAAGGTGAATCTCTTGAATATCCTGAATATGTTGATATGATTTAAACTGGGTCGTGAAAAGTCAAACTTGTGATTCGTTCTCACTCCACATTCTGCAGTAGTTCATCTGTCATGACTCCTGAACTGTTTCCCTGCAGCCAAGTCCGACATCCACCCCTCCGTCCCGAGAGAGGCCGAAGAGTCCAGACCGGAGCCGCCCCCCAGGTCCAAACCACCGAGCGTCACCCCCAGACCGCCTCAGCCCCAGGCCGCCAAACCCCCGCCAGGTCCCACCGGTCCCACCGGTCCCACCGGTCCCCGGCCGAGCAGCACCTACGTTCAGGGTAGACAACGATTGGCTGAGTTTTCTGCTCAATCAAGAGAAGATCCGTGTTTTTATCACCTCAAGTAAGAAAAGAAGTTTGAATCTCTCGTCTGTGATTTTCTGCTTCTCAGACGATTCTCCTGAGGCGGCAGCAGCCAGAGCACCACTTCCTGCTCCTCGCCTGAAGAGGGCGCCATCGGAGCAGGAGCGAGAGAGCGTGAGCAGTAACTCTGCAGGACGCCTGTCGCCAGTGGACGGTTCGTTTCTCTGTTCGATTCCCTGGTTGATCTCCACACACACACACACACACACACACACACTGGCAGCAGCAGAATACTCAGTTTTTAATCAAAACAACACAAAACTGTTGTTCTTGTCGGTTTCAGACAAAAGATTGAATATTTATACATCTAAATATTTTTAAGCTTAAAAAATATATTTGACACAAATTGACTCTAGAAAAGTTTTACAACAAAAAGTCAGATGTTCAGAATCGTTCCTGCTCTCGTGGGTCCAGATCCCGTCATGATTTTTATTATGAACCAGTTTCAGGATCATATTGATGCTTCTACTTTCTTCTATTCAACATTTTCTTCGTCGATAAGATTCGGATCCAAAAAAAGAAAACTAAGAAACGAGGAATCCAACAAGTTTATTTTAAAAACAGACATTAAACACGGTGACAGAAGGAATCTTATCGATCGGAGTCCTGCAGGACGCGGCGCAGCAGTGGCTGCTGGGAATTCTGTTGTTTCTTATGATGAGTCACTGTGGGCCGAAAATATAACCGTCAGTTTAACAGGTGACGTGTTTAATGAACGCTTCCAACGCCTCCACACATGGAGTCTGTGTCGCCTGAAGTGTCAGCGTGCGTGTTGTGGTTCAACGCTCGACTCGTGTAATTAACACGTATTTTTCCTTAAAGCGACGTTTCTTCTGTATAATCAGAAAGACGAGAGAGGAGGGGGCGTGGTCACCATCTGACAAACTGACAAAGTGCGTTTCTCTTCGACAAACTCACTTCACACGTTGTTGTCGACGTTGAAACGCAGTTTAAAAACAGGAGTTTATTGATTTTCCCTCAGTTACACTTAATGTAATCAGATTACAATCAGGTTGAGCACATGACGCTAAATTCAGCTGAGACGCATTGAGGACGGATCCTGATCTGATCGTCCACATTACAGACTGTGAATAAAGTTTCTCGTTTCAACAGCGGACTTTTCCGGAGATGCTGGCGATGCCTTTGACCCGCCTGGCGCAGGGGTGGAGTCTGACACAGGGGCGGAGCCTGGCGGCGGTGGCAGACAATGGTCGTCTCTGAGGAGTTCAGCCCCTCCTCCTTTGGACAGGGAGGCGGACCGAGAGCGCGCCAAGTCCCTCCCGGCTGATGGTTTGAATAATTTACATTCTCAAAACGTAGAAGAAGAATTATACATTTGTTTACGGTTAATTAATGACAATCAACAATAGATCAACAATCAATAATCAGCTTTGTTTCATATTTATTCTCAGTTTGATGTTTCAGGACTTATTTTCTCCGTCTCTCTGCAGTGAGGCCTCCGTCGCTGGCCGACGCAGATCTGAGTCCGGCTGAGGAGGAAACTGAAGCTGCTGATCTCAAGTCTGACGGCAAATCAGAGGACGAGTCCGACGACGAGGCTCCTTCGGTCTGACGTCAGCCAGAAGTTTAAAGTCGAGCGAACGTTTCAGGACAATCACACACGTGGACGGACGACTTTTTTGAACCGTTCCTGGCGAGGCACATGTAATCAGGGGAGAGGGCGAGTTTCCTGATCTGGGATCAGCCGTCACAGTTCCATCAGCGTCTCCAACGGGATCACAAAGAGGCGAACACGCAGCTTTTATCTGAGGCTTCTTAGAAACAACAGCTTCATCTTCACCGCACTAATTAAAACAGATCAGAAACTGGAAACAGAAACAAATTTATCTCTCAAAATATTTCAGAAAACCAAAGAGACGATGAAACAGATTCAAACTGAAACAACGGACCAATCAGGTTGTTTCGTTTAATTGTGGTTTAATTCTAATCGACTGCTAACGACCTGTTAAAAACCGCCGAGGGTTTTATTTCATTGGAGCTGGAAGAAAGTTTTACGTTTGATCAGATGAGATGTGATGAAGACTCTGGTGCCAGGTGAGATTTTCCAGCGTTTATTTAAAACATTCCTCTTGTTCTTGACCAGAAAATATTTCAGGTCAGTTTCTGTGGATAAAATAATTTTGACAACACTGAAAAACATTTAATCTCATCATCGCTAACACATTATCAGTTTTCATTATCAAGAAGTAAACACCACCTGTGGCTGCAGGGGGCGCTGTCGCTCAGTGACATAGTGTTGCTTTAAACCTCGGCGGTCGGCGTGAACCTGTGAATGTTTTTCCATCGCCGCCGTTGGTCCTTCGTCACGTGACCATGACACACCAGAGTGGGCGGAGACAACTTTGCTGCTCCGCCCACTGAGGTGTCACTTCAACCAATGAGCTTCTTCCTGCAGAAAACTAAAACTTTAACCTTCCGGCTTTGACACGACCAGAAAGTTAAACATCTCCTTCTCCTCAGAAGTCGCCGCTGCTGTATCGTCACATGTCACATTGTGACACCTGTCAATCACTCACGCTCCACGTCCTGATGTAAACGAGCACTGACGCGTCAGTGGGTTTTAATCACAGACGCAAACTCTGCGGTTTTATCGTCTTTTCAGCAGAAATCTGATTTATTGTTTTCACTTGAGAGGCTTGGTGATGGTTTTCTTTATATTGGGAAAATATTTTATAAAAGAAGTAAATGTTATATTGTTTATATGTGAGTGGACCTTCTGGAAACATCTGTATTTGTTTATATGAATAAATCCTGTTTCACAGCTCTGACTCTCTCTCTCTCTCTCTCTCTCTCTCGCTCCTCCTCCTCTCTTCATATACGAGCTGCTGAATCTCTCTTCTCTCGTTTCTCTGAGTTCAGACGACGACTGAAGCTGAAATCAGAATAAAATTTATTTAAGTGGATAAAACCTCGTCTTTGTCTCTGACGTCGTTCGGTGGAAGAATCGTTTTCTCTTGTTTCTCTGTCGCGTCGTCAGCGGCTCGTCCTCTGGACTGGTCGTCAGCACCATGGACCTGGACCGGCTGGACGCCTCAGGTTTTCTACACATCTGGACACTTCTGGACGTGGACGGTAAGAACGTCAGTGGCATCGCTCAGCGTCTCCAGATGTTTAACCAAGTATAAACATTAGTTCATTTGACTGAACGATGTTAAAAATAAAGAGACTTTAATAAATGATCTTGTTTTTTATCGCACTGTGAGAATGATCCACTGTACAGTACGATTCAAATAACATTAACTTTATTAACATGACAATCAGTGAACATGCTCCATTGACAAAAACTAGTTGAAGTAAAGTAAAAAATAAAGTTTTATCTATTTATTGTAGAATAAAAAGCAAAATAAATAAAATGGGTTATTTATGTTTATTTAACGCCTGATGTGATGTTTTAGTTTGGTTCATGTCCCATCTGCTTACATGGAGGAGGTAAGGTTAATTATCTATGCTGCAGTCAGCCACCAGGGGGGTGATTGAGAAGTTTTGGCTTCACTTTCATGTCGTCCATCTTTGTTTACAGACGATGATTGATACTGTTTTATTTTTATTTTATTTTGAAAAAACACATTTAACATGAAAGTGTTCAATTAAACATGTTAGTGTAGTTTTATTATTATTAATGATAATAATATTTTTAACTTTAACTCAGTGACGTTGTAGCTGCTGCTTGTGTTTGTTTTTGTTTATGTTAGACAACGGTTACATCGCAGCGACGCAGCTCGACGACTTCTTTCGTCGCGTGTTGGAGAAACTCGGAGAGAAGGTGAAGACAGAAAAGATGAGGCTGAACTGATGCTGTGCAGCCACACGGTGGCAGTGTCCCCCAGTGAGCTGCTTTCTGATCGCACCACCGGGGGGCGCTGAAGCCTCAAATGTTAAAGATTCATTAAGAGCAAATATTTGGATGAATGAAGTTCTCTTCGTTTAAAGATTCACTTTAAATGGTCAAGTGGCAGAAATGTAAAATTATATTTCTGTTTGTGTTTACGTCCTGATTCACGTTTAAACTTCACAACTACGCAAAATAATTCATGATATTCATTTAAAGGTTCTTAATTTAAAGTCCAGTCAAACATGATCTTCACAGGGAGAAGAGATTAGCGAGCACAACATCAGACGACTGAGAGAAAGGTTCGTGTCGGCGTATGACGTCTCGGCCGTCGGACGTCTGCAGATCCAAGAGGTAGGAATCCCGTCAGCTGATCTCTGGAATAAGACTCTGACGTCTGCAGGTCGTGAGTTTCCTCTGTTTACACGTCACCACTGACACGCTGGTGCTAAATATCTCATTCTTCAGTGTAAGAACACAAGTGAACAGTTCGAGGACACGTTCGTGAATCTGACGTTTTTTCAGGAACTTTCTCGAGAAGAAAAATGAGATTGTTAATGAGGCCAACTGAGATTAAATGTTGTCTTTGCAGCTCGCGGCCATGATGCTGCCGGAGGAAGAAAACTTCCTGCTCCTGTTTCGCAGAGAGACGCCGCTGGACAACAGCGTGGAGTTCATGAGGGTGAGGTCAAAGGTCAACAAGTAGTGGACATGATGAGACATCTTCTGGTCCAGAGTGATGATTGATGGAGATTGGAAAAGAAAGTGCAGCAGCTGGTTGTTGTAGTTTTTGGGATATTTGTTGTGCTGTCTCAGATTTTTCCGTCTTGTTTGAGCAGATCTGGAGAAACTACGACACCGACAGCAGCGGCTTCATCTCAGCCGCCGAGCTCAAGGTAACGAACGAGGAAAGAGACGCTCGCAGCAAATCACCTCATTCAAACGTTTTATTCTTTCTGTCAGACGTGTGTTCGTGTTCTCTCTGATTGTCTTTTTTGTGTTTGTCCCTCCAGGGCTTCCTTCAGGACCTGTTCCTCCAACACAGGAAGTCCGTCACCGCTGAGAAGCTGGAGGAGTACACTGTCACCATGGTAACCTGCAGGGAGGCGGTTTGTGACGGACGTCTGTTTGTCGCCGACTCACAAATACATTTTATTTTTCTGTTTCCTTCCTGCAGATGAAGATGTTCGATAAAAACCAGGACGGACGACTGGATCTGAACGACCTGGCCAGGTAACACTGCTCCGCGTCATGTGACCAGGAGAGCGACTCACACTTCATCTGATCGACGCTGTAATCAGAGAAAAATACAATTTAATTCGTATAATTTAGGTTTAATATTGTTGATGTCGTCTTTGCCTCTTTTTTTCTTTCGAATGTGAAATGTTGTTAAATTAATTAAACTAAATGTGTTTCTTTATTGTCCATCGACAGAATTTTGGCTCTGAAAGAAAACTTCTTACTGAAGTTTAAGATGGACGTAAGCATGAAATATTTGTAGTTTACTTTATTTCGTTTTATAATACTTTGTGTTTTCAGAGAATATTTCGTTTTATTCATGACGTGTGTTTGGTTGTGTGCGGTCAGGCCTGCAGCCAGGAGGACAGGAAGAGGGACTTTGAGAAGATATTTGCTCATTACGACGTCGTAAGTTTTTTCTGTAAAACTGTTCCTGGAATAATTTATAAAATATTGAGGAGGTTTTTTTTCCTGTTTCCTGTTTCCTGTTTGACCCGAGCAACTTTAATTTACAAAGTACTTGAATATCTGGTGTGTGTGTGTGTGTGTGTGTGTGTGTGTGTGTGTGTGTGTGTGTGTGTGTGTGTGTGTGTGTGTGTGTGTGTGCAGAGTAAGACAGGTGCGTTGGAGGGTCCCGAGGTTGATGGATTTGTCAAAGACATGATGGAGCTGGTGAAGGTAAAACAACAACAAGATGTTTGAATCATAAAAATCTTTAAAACTTCATTTATTTGTTTTTATTTTTTTAGAGGTATCTAAGGCGGGACTTATTTTTGACACCTCTGTATTTGATCGTTAAGTCTTCGTCCAGATGTTCTGCTGTTATCAACGCTTCCTGTATGACTTTTCACATTAAAAGCTCTTAGCGGCAGTGTAGCTCAAACACTAGTGTTTTGTTTTAAAGACTCTTATTTTGGAACCAGCTTTGATTCATTCAGGAGCCTCGATACTCACGATAGCTTCACTGTCTCCGTCAGTGCGAGTTGACCTCTGACCTCTGCCCCCCCCCCCCCCCCCCCCCCCCCCCCCCCCCCCCCCCCCCCTGTCCAGCCCAGCATCAGTGGCACAGACCTGGACAAGTTCAGGAAAGCTCTGCTCGGCCACTGTGACATCAACGGAGACGGAAAGATCCAGAAGAACGAGCTGGCTCTCTGCCTCGGCCTCAAACTCAGCTAACGTTCACACCGTTTTTTCTTTCCTCCATCTCTCTGTTACTTCCTCTCCTCTTTCCTACTCGTCCTCTCTCTTCCTCCCACTGTGTATCTCTCTATCGAACGCCCATGAGCGAAGTATTCCCACAGTTTTATAAACTTTTCTGTATCAAATATTTGAACAGAAGTGATGAAGTCAAATGAATCTCTATCGATGTGAAAACCTCGAGATGCAGCTGGTGTCTTGTCTGTTTCATGACTGCATGACATGATTTTTCTTTGTGATGTGATTAATGTGATGTGGTTAATAAAATATATTGAATCTTTGTCACGCATGTCGTTCTTCACACGCAAACATGTTTTTTATATCTTTATGTTTATGCACAAACACACCACAGTCACTTCCTGGTTTGTATAAACTTGGTAATGAACCCAGATTCTGGAGCCACAGCCGCTCACTTGGTGCAGCTTGACTGAGTTGAGCAGTTGGACCTTGGTGGAGGTTTGAGCTCCAGAGTGAGGTTCTAATGTTCTAGTTTAAGCTCCTGACTCCGTGTACATACTGATTATATCCTACAGGAAGTTTTTATTACGTTGACATGCTCGGTTTATTTACCTTAGATACCGGAAAGGGTTGAAACTGCATTTTGAAATATAAAATCCCTCTGAGAGCTCAAACCTCTGCTGAGACACTCTTAAATTCTCCGATACCACATCTCCATCAAACAAACAAATACATGGAGACGAGTAAAAACCTGACAGAAGTAAAAATGAAAAATGTGATCACAGCAGAAAAAACGAGATAAAATCAAATGAATGAGGGAAGGGTATAAATACTTTTATATTCTTTGGAAAATCACTGGAGTTGTCTTTTAAAGTTTCCTGTGTTCAGTGTTTTTAAGGACGACTTTCAGCTGCATCCTTACACTCTTTGCACTATTTTCTCGCTCATATTAACAATCGGTTTTCAAGATTCTCCAGAGAAGCTGGATGTTGGAACTACTTTTCTAGTTCCACTGTTCTTCTTGAAGAAATAGTCCGTATGACATATGACGACATGTTCTGTCTGAGCAGCGTGTGTCAGAAGATTCATTCATCGTGCACCTCAGACAAAATCCTCCATAATGTCTGAAATACTTCTGTTGCAGGAGAAATCCTAAAGGTGGCAGAATCCAACCTTATCACGACCCTTGAAACAGGCGTATGTAGCCACTGCTCAGAGCTTTGTGCTGAGGCCTCAAACCTGAGTCCAATCAGCTCATTAGTGTTCATGTGGCTCAGGTACCTGCATTTAAAAGCCCAGCTGTGGTTGCAGCAGTCAGAAGTTTCTTCTTCTGTTGTTTGATGCCAAGCAGCACCAGTTGTGTTGGGTTTTTGTGTGGCTTTTTTGGAAATGGCTTCTGGACTTTGTGTGAGGTATGATTTGTTTACTTTTAATTCTTTCATAAACATTTTCTGTAAAAACTTGTGTGTCCTTAGTTCACATGTGAAATGATCTCCTTCCCAGGGTGCTCTTGCTCTCACTCTTAGCCTTTGGGCCACATGCTGGGGGTAAGTGAATTATTCTACACAAACCATATATCCAGTTCTGGTTGTTTCTGTAATACTGACAAGTTATATCTCCTTAGCACTGAGCTACAGAAGTGGAGACTCCAGTGGAGTTACACCGTACTTTAAGGTCCCCAGTGCTTTGCTCAGAGGCCATAAACCAGCTTTAGCCCCTTCCAGATATGAGAGTTCTGCACAGACTGGAGGATCTCAAAGTGGCTCTGGACCCAGTTACCCTGAAGGTGGCTCATCTGATGAACTGGAGCCTGCTGGTGCCAGAGGTTATACTGGTTATTATGGAAGGCAAGTAGATGGTAACAGTCAAGAAGGAAGTGTTCCTAGTTACAGGCCTAACCCAATGATTCCTTCAAAACCCAGAGAGAACCCGCTTCAGCCAAGTTACCACGCTAACCCTGATAACATTCAGACCAAAAAAAACATGTGGAATTTTGCATTTCCCAATAATGGAAACAAATTTCAGTTAGGCAGTGTTTCAAGTTCTGGTATTAAGATGGATATTGCACCGCTGAGCTACCAGCCCCAGCAGCTGTCGAGCTACCAGCCCCAGCAGCCCAAGCAGCTGTCGAGCTACCAGCCCCAGCAGCCCAAGCAGCCGTCGAGCTACCAGCC